TGCGTAAGCGTACTCGCCGCCTCAGGCTGACGGTTTCTTTGCTTCTTCTGCCAACTGCCTTGAGTTGCTGTGCATGTGTGTGTGTGAGCGGTTGGTTCAAAACGCACAAGACACCTTCTTGGGCCCGGAAGCGTGTTCGTTGTTGCTACCACCAGCTTCTCGCACTCACTCTCAGCTGCTCTTTTGTGGTTTGCGAAAAGCTGAGCGACCAGCCTTGCGTGCTCCACCAGCATCCCCCCCCCCAACAAAAAAAAAAAAAGCTGGTGGGCACTCTCTCCTCTCTGTCTGTCTGTGTGTTTCGTCTCCTTTGTTGTTCCCACCCACCAACCAAACAAAAAAAAAGGCGAAAGCCACGCCCCCTCCTCTTCCTTCTCTCTTCCTCTCTTGTGTGCACTGCAACCACAACAACCAACCAACCGGTCCTTGCTACTCTTCTCTTTCTCCCCTTCCCCTCCAACCAAACCAACACAACCCCACTCCCCCGCCCTCTTTCCCTGTTTGTCTCTCTCGTTTTTTGTTCTTGTCAACTCGACCATCTCCTCAATCATCTCCTCTTCCTGGCACCTCGCCCGCGGCACCAAGAAGCCCTCAAGCCCACCGTCCGCGGCCACAGGGATTGCCCACTGAGCAATTGACCTCCAAACCCCCACAACCCTACGCCGCTCCACAGGCTCACAGCCATGGCTGACCAGCGACTGACGCACGGCGTGTCCGTGGAGGCGATCAAGACCTTTTTCGCAGACCTGAAGAGCGAGTTCCCCGACACGTACACTGAGATGACCACGGAGGATGCCTGCAAGCAACTGGTTGTGCCACGCACGCGCCAGGACAACTGCGCCTACGTCGAGCAGCTGCGCAAGCAGTCGCCAGAACACGTGAACAAGGCCACCGTCTTTGTGTCGCACGCATGGCGGTACAAGATTGCAGACGTGCTCAACGTGCTGCTTGAGTTTGCAGAGGAGCAAGCAAGGGAGGACGACGGCCAGCCCGTCTTCTTTTGGTTTGACCTCTTCATGAACAACCAAAACGCCAACGTCACCGCCAACCTCCCACAAGAGTGGTGCGTTGTTTGCGTGCGTGCGTGTGTGTGTGTGTGTGTGTGTGTGTGTGTGTGTGTGTGTGTGTGTGTGTGTGTGTGTGTGTGAAACTCTTGTGCTCTTCAACAACCACTGCCACACGCACACAGACACGCACACTGTTCCCTCACAAGAACTGCAACCCCTTCCCTTTCCTCCCGTCTTCGTCTTCCCTCCACCCCAATTCCGCCCCGTTTCCTTTCTCAACACGCAGGTGGAGCACGACGTTCAAGGAGTCGATTGCCAACATTGGCCATGTGCTGCTGGTGCTCATGCCGTGGCGAGACCCTGTTCCCTTGACACGCGCGTGGTGTTTGTGGGAGATCTTCTGTGGCATCAGCAACGAGGGCACAGAGGTCACCATCCAACTACCCAACAGCGAAGAACAGGCGCTCGAAAACGCCATCTTTGATGACTATGAAGCCGTGACAGACACGCTGGTGCGCGTGCAGGCAGAGCGAGCCGACGCCTTCAACCCGCACGACAAGCACATGATCTTCACGGCGATCGAGTCGTGGGCGGGCGGCTTTGGCGCAGTCAACCAAGCCGTGAAGGACCAGCTGCGCGCGTGGTGCCTGCAAAAGGCGGTGGGTGCCGTCGAAGCAATGCGAGCCCGAGGTGAGGACAGCACTGACGCCTTCGCGCGGCTGTGTGGCCAGGTTGGGCTGGTGCTGAACGAGTTTGGCGAGCACGATCGCGCCATTGCCTACTACGAGGCAGCCCTGGCAATTCGGCTACGCACCGAAGGGGAGAAGGGCGAGAACGTGGCGGCGTTGTACAACAACCTCGGCGAAGCATACCGCCACAAGGGCGAGTGCGACAAGGCGGTTGCGTTTTACGAGAAGGACCTCGCCATCACGGTGGAGACGCTGGGCGAGAAGCACCCGAGCACAGCAACCACGTACAACGGCCTCGGCACCGCATACGGCGACAAGGGCGACTACGACAGAGCGATCGAGTGTTTTGAGAAGGCCCTCGCCATCTACGTGGAGATGCTGGGCGAGAAGCACCCCAGCACAGCGAGCACCTACAACAACCTCGGCAGCGCCTACTACAGCAAGGGCGACTACGACAAGGCGATTGCGTTTTACGAGAAGGACCTCGCCATCACGGTGGAGACGTTAGGGGAGAAGCACCCGGGCACGGCCGATTCGTATCTGGGCCTCGGCGTCGCCTACTACAGCAAGAGCGAGAACGACGAGGCCATCCAACTTTATGAGAAGGCCCTCGCCATCAAAGTGGAGACGCTTGGGGAGAAGCACCCGAGCACAGCTGAGACCTACAACAACCTCGGCAACACATACTACAGCAAGGGCGAGTACGACAAGGCCATCCAGCTGTACGAGAAGGCCCTCGCCATCACGGTGGAGACGCTCGGCGAGAAGCACCCGAGCACAGCCGACACGTACAACAACCTCGGCAACGCCTACAGCGACAAGGGCGAGTACGACAAGGCGATTGTGTTCTATGAGAAGGCCCTTGCCATCAAGGTGGAGACGCTGGGCGAGAAGCACCCAAGCACAGCGAGCACGCACAACAACCTCGGCACCGCCTACGCCGACAAGGGCGACTACGACAAGGCCATCCAACACCACGAGACGGCGCTCGCTATTCGGGTGGAGACGCTGGGCGAGAAGCACCCACACACAGCCACGTCGTACTTCAACATTGGGCTGCTGCACGACGACCGCGGCGACAAGGAGCAGGCCTGCGCCTGCATGCAACAGGCGCTCGACGTTTTCACAAGCACGGTCGGGCCAGACCACCCAGACACGCGCGACGCGGAGCGCGAACTGCGGCGCATTCGCGGTGACGAGTCCGATGATGGCGGTACACGCACGGCGGCCTCCCTGGGCGAGGAAGAGGACGAGCAGAAGCAACAAGAAGGGAGCGGCGATGACCAAGTGCAAGCTGTGGCTGGCCAACAAGATGCAGCAGACGACTCTGAGCCGCAGGAGCGTTCTCCACAACAGCAGCTGGCCGGCTGGCTGCGGAAGCGTGGGCGACGGAGGGCCGCCTTTCGCCCGTGCTGGTGCAAGCTTGACGACGACGGCCACCTCGCGTACGGCAAGTCCGCTCCAGGTACAGCCAAGCGACGTATCCCCCTTTCCAGTGTGCTGTCAGCTGAGCTTGGCCATGGTGACGAGGAGTTACACGTTGCTGTTCCTGACCGCACCTTCGTCTTCCGCCTGCACGCGCACTCTGACACCTCGCTCGCTGACTGGTGCACCGCCATCAACAGCCGCATCAACGCCTCCACTTGACTGTGCGTGTGCTGTGCGTGTGCGTGTGTGTGTTTGCGTGCGTGCGTGTGTGTGTGTGTGTGCGTGTGTGTTGCTGGTTTGTCTCTTTGCTCCTTTGCTCCTGTCTTTCCTTTACGTGCTTGCTTTCCCCTTGCTTTTACTTGCTTGACGTTGCTTGTTTGACACTTTCGTAAACTCTTCACGCAATTCAACCAGCTGACGAGCAACGAGCATACAACCTACTACACCACACGTCAACCAAACAAGCAAGCAGGTCCTCTTTCACTCCCACGTCCACGCCGGTACGCCTGCCTTGCGCACCAGCGGCCCGTGGAAAAGTAGTTCCATCAGCACGTGAATGTGTGGGGGCATCGGCAGCGGGTTCGGCCGCTCAACGTGCATGGCGCCCAGCAGCCTCGTCGGAGGCCTGGGTCGCCAACCTGTACTCGTTGTCCGTCCGCGACCGTGCGGAACAGCACGTCGTCGCTGCAGGCCCACGCCAATCGGGGATGCGCCCAACTCTCGTGCTGCACCTCCGCCACCGCCGCCTCCTCCGGGTTCAGGTTGCCCGTCCCCAGCGACAGGTCCCACCATACAAAGGGCTGCAGCGACATCAGGAGCGTGAAGACGTCTGCGTCCCAGCAGCGTGCTTCCGCAGTCTTGTCTCCACGTCGGTCTTGCTGTGCATCATGCCCGCGAACACGGCGGCAATCCCCGACGGCAGCTGCAGCTTCGTCTCGAACGGCGCCTGCAGCGTCTTCTCGCTGACGACCGCGTGTGTCCTTGCCCACCTCGCGCGCGCGCGTGTACTCAGGCGAGAAGTTGGAGTACATCTCCCGCGTGGGGCGCACCCATCCGTCTGCGCAAACCACAATCGTGCTGACGTGTGTTGTTGTGTTGTAACGTGCGCTTGGGGGTCCCGGCACCCTCCACACGTGCCTGTTGGGGTCGGCGAGCGACCTGAACCCAACCGGCCGTCGGCGGCGGCGGCTCGATGGTGAGTCCGCCATCCCCGTTCACGCATCCCGACAGATGTGCTTGCCCTTGATGGCTGTTGGAGCTGGCGGTGGGGGGAGGAAACGACGCCACGATAGACAGGCAAATGACTGGGCGTGGACGTGGAGACGTTGTGGCAACGGAGCATGTCAGCTGTACACACTTGTCGACATTGATGAGCTGCAATGTCTGCAACAGCGAGGAGAGATGGTTGCCTGTTGGACAGGCGAGGAGACGGGTGAGTGATGTATGAGAAGGAGCACGACAAGTCCACACGGGGAACTCAGGTGAACCGCAAACAAGGGTGCAGACAAGGGCGCAAACGCACGCACGCACGCACACACAAACGCACGGTCGATGGAGGTGACTGCGTCGTTGGCGAGAGCGAGCCAGGTGCGGGTGACGGTGGCGGCGGCGATGGTGCCGATGCGTTTCAGCTCTTCATTCGACTGAGACAGCTGCCGTGCACGAGGTGCGAATGGTTGTGGTGGTTGTGGTGGTGGTGGTTAAGTGAGAAGGGTGAGAGACGCTCTTCATGGAAGGACATTATGTTATGCAACACACCTTCCTCAACGCACAAGTTCACACACTCACACACACACACACACACACACACACACACACACACACACACACACACACGCACGCACACACACACACACACACACACACACACACACACACACACACACACACACCATCCTCGTTCTCGTCGTCAATGAGGCCTGCGGGCGGCGGTGCGCTGGCGGTCAAACGTGAGCGTGGTCAGGACACGAAAGAGCTGCCGGATGTGGATGAAGTGCAGGTTGCTCAGGCAGTCCAGGGTGCCGTTCAGCATGAGCGCAATCGGGTGCAGCAGCTCTTGCTGGCCTGTGGCCAGCGACAGTAGCAGCACAGGCATGGCTGCGTCCACCTCCTGTGCCTGCCTCGTGCCAATGTGCGCTACCAGCGCCCCAACCACCTCCTGCTGCGCACTCGCGGTTGGAGTCGAGCGTGGGCGCCTGGCTTTGGAAGGTACCAAACTCGCACTCGCTCACGGCCATGCGTGGAAATGTACCCCCAGGCAGCGCAACGCGACACGCCCACGCACGTGTCCTGGACGCACTTGTGGCAGAGGCGGTCGTGCTGGCGCGTGGGCTCGCGAATCTCTTCCTTATCCTCATCGCACCGCGTGACGGGGCGGCACGACTCGGCCTGGCCATCGACGGGCTTGAAGGCGGCGCCAACCTCGCACTGGCTGCACACGCGGTCGCTCGTCGGGATGGTGCTCGGCCGTCTCCTCCTCGCCGGCGGCGCACGTGGTGACGAGGAGACAGGGCACGCCCTGGCTGGCCAGAGACGGCCTTGTACGTGCCCTCCAGGTACTCGTAGCAGACACGGTCGCTGATGAGGTGGGTCACGCCCTGCACCTCCTCAAACCCGCCGCGCCCTCGCCGGCGGCGCACGTGGTGACGAGGAGACAGGGCACGCCCTGGCTGGCCAGAGACGGCCTTGTACGTGCCCTCCAGGTACTCGTAGCAGACACGGTCGCTGATGAGGTGGGTCACGCCCTGCACCTCCTCAAACCCGCCGCGCACTCTGTGACGTCGTTGCACGGGGTGGCAGGGTCGCTGTCGTGGTGGTCGTGGGTGCTGGCGTGGCAGGTGAAGCTGGAACAGGAGCCGTGGCAGCCCGCCTCCGTGTAGTGGCCACCGGGGGCACATCTGGCAACCCGTGGAGCCGTCACTGTCCGAGTCGATGGGGCCGGCCCGGCAGTCGCGGCACACGCGGTCCGAGGAGCAGTAGGTTGGCGCGGAAACCTCCGCCTGGCCGCGCTCGCACTTGCTGCCGCCAATGGATGGGGAGAACTCCGTCACGCTGTCGCACGGCCGACAGTCGGCTGGATCGGCGTCGTAGACAAGGATGAAGCCAGCGCTGCACTCGCACGTGTCTGTGCAGCCTGGGCAGCAGCGGCGTGCCTCGTAGGCGTCCATCTGGCAAATGGTGTCGCGGATGCCATCCTCGCCCTGGCCGGAGCAGCACACGTCCAGTACAACGTCGAGCTGCTCGTCCGTGGGCTCAGCGCACACAATCTCCTCAAACAGCTGCGTGATGAGGTTGTTGCAGGTGCGCGTGTCGCAGGAGCACAGGCGGTCCATGGTGAGCGTGGGCGGGATGGTCTCGATGAAGGGCTCCTCGCAAACGCTGGTGGGGAAGCACGAGGCGCGGTCCGGCAGCGGCTGGTACTCCGTGCCAAAGGGTGCAGTTCACGCATGCGCAGTCGCGCACGGCGTTGCCAGAGACAGACGAACTCCTTCTGGGCCTGGCTTGCACTCGGTCCAGGGGGAGAGCAGACGGCGTCAGAGGACGCGGAGCATGGAGGCCCAGATGCCCATGCCACACGTGGTGCATGACACGCAGCGGTGGTCCTTGGCGTAGTAGCCAGTCGAGAGGGCAAATGGGCAATGCACGACTGGTGAGGTTGCCGTCGCAGACGAGGCAGTCGGTGGCGTCCATTGGAGTGGCACTTGGAACACGCGTGGAGTGGCATTCGGCACACCCGTTGGCCGAGCTCATGCCCGCCATCGGGGCACTCGCTGATACAGCGGCCGTTACTGGAGGTGAGGGTTGGGCCCACAGGCCGTGCACTCATCGATGCCTGGAGGGGAAGGTGCGGGAGTGGAGGGGAGGATGGGGTGAGAGGCAATGACAACACTCTTGTGAGGTGTTGAGGAACCGTGCACCGCTTCATCATCTCAACGATACAAAACTCAGAAGAGACATTGAGGACAAGCGCGCACACACACACACACACATGCACACACACACACACACACAAGCACCCACACAAAGACAACATACCATTGGCCCGTGATGAAGCTATCCTTGAGGACCCGCCGCACGGTGTTGTTGTGCACCGTGTCGACTGTCGTGTGGTTGTGCTTCACAGCCTGCTCCAAGTAGCCGCTTGTCCTGAAGCATGTCTCCCCGAGCTCCATGTCCGCGCCACCGTTCAGCGTCTTTGCAACGGCGTCGACGGGGTCGCGGGCGTGCTTGTTGGCGTTAACCATGTTTGCAAATCGCACAGCAGTCTGTTCCAATCATCAGCATGTCACGCTTCCACTGCCCGCGCACGACGTCGTTGAGCAGCATGGCGTTCGCACACGATGACACGCCGTTGATGCTGGCGTACGAGCACATGGCAGCGAGCGTCCGTGCCTGTACTGCACATGAGGCACATGGCAGAGGGGAGTAGGATGAATACGAGCAGGTGGGAGGTGAGGGGTTGGCGCAGGCATGGTGGCGTGAACGAACTGTCAAGAAATATGTTGATGGGAGGCACACGAGCTGACACACACACACACACACACACACACACACACACACACACACACACACACACACACACACACACACACGCATACAAACACACACACACACACACACACACACACACACACCTCGGTGTCCCAGAGATCAAAGGTGGAGATGTTCCCGTTGAATGCCATGCGGTTTGTCTCGACCGAGTACGCGTCAAAGTGCTTGAGACCTTAACATGATGGAGCGGTGACAGTAGTGTAAATGACAGGACCACCACCAAGTGTGCAAACGAAACAGCGTCGCTGACACGGCTGTTTGTTTGCATACACACATGTGTCAGTGTGGATGCGTGTGCGTACCTGCTGTCATTTTCTTCGTACTTCCTGTCCGAGCCATCCTGGCAGCCAGTCACGTAAACAGTAACGCACTCACCCTCAAGCACGGGTCTCAGACGTTGAGAGGGGTGCAGTGAAGGCGAGGGCGTGGGCCTGCAAAGTGAGTGTGTGAGTGAGTGGGTGGGTGAGTGTAAAGGGGGTTGGGGGGCAATGCGGGCGACTGTAGTGGAGTGATCGCATGTGTGTGATATGTGCACCAGCATCAGCACCACGTGATGAAGGGCACACCTGCGAGTCCGATCTTCTGCAAGACGCTGCCACCTCTGTGCCAGTTGAGATTGTTGAAGGCGCACGTCTCCGTGGAAATGGCCTGGAAGCGAAGAACCGGTAGGGGGGATGGGGAGGGAGGGAATGAACGACAGGTGCTGTGATCAAGAAGAAGAAGACGACATAGCAGACGTACACACACACACACACACACACACACACACATACACACACACACACACACACACACACACACACACACACACACACACTCGGTTGAAGGCTGCGCCAAGACCTGTGGGGCCAATGAAGGTGGCGGCACACTTGTCCTGCCTGTTTGATGCACGCAGAGGCGACGGCCGTGTTCGTCTCCACCAGATGCAGATACAGCGGGATGTCAAGCCTGCACCCATGCACACATGTGCAAGCATGAAGAGGGAGATGGTGTTGCTGTATGAGCAGTGGTGGCAGCGGTTGTTGCGGTTGTGGCACGAAGAAGCAAGGAGGATGAGGAAACACAAGCAGGCAGTCACGAGTCACTGCGTGAGCGCTGTATGTCCTTTCCCACCTCTTGACGCCACAGTCAACAACAGCGCATGGGCTGGTGACGGGATCGGGGCCAACGAGACCGGCCTTCTCCTGAAGACTGAGGCGTCCAATGAGGTCGTCGAGGCGGGCACCGATGGACAGACTCGTGTTGCAGAACGGTAACTCCCTCGTCGCTGCAGACAGGCACGCATGGCCTGACGAGGCAAGGTGCAACAGCAGCTTAGTATGAGCTGAGTGGGTGGTATTGTGTGCGTGTGTGCATGTGTGTGTGTGTGTATGTGTGTATGTTGGGATCACCTGTGGGAACGGGTTTGCCGGAACAGTTTGCTTGGATGATGCTCATGCGATTGGCTGCTCCGCACATCTCGGTGGACGCCCCCGTGCATGGTTCATTGCAGTCGGAGGAAGGCTGCACAAAAGTGTATGTTGGTTGGGGGGGGGGGGG